GAACAGACAGTGCTCTTGAGCCATCTCTCCAGCCCCAAGACCATTTAGATTTTTAAATAAAGAGAAAGGTTAACTTATTCCTAGGTAAGTTCTTCTTTGAATTTTCAACATGACCAATTATGAATGAAGTCTCCTCCATCAATTTAATATTTTGTTTACAAGGTACTTGTAATTTATTTTTTATAGCTATTTCTAAGTTAGAAAATATAAGCCCTAAATTTTATCATTATTTGTACCCAATGAATATGCGGAATTTCAGAGAAAAACATCCTGAAGCTTTTCTGACCTTGCTGATGGCAAATAAAATGCAGAGCTACACCTACTTGTTAATTTTGGTTTCTATAAAACAGTAAACTTATGTAGAATATTCATACTTAAAAAGGAAATTAACTTTAATAGCTTCATGAACTTTTCCATTAACATGCATTCCTTCAGTTTTATTTCCAACAAGCCGGTTATATTAGAATATGGATGAACCATTACAGATTCAAACATCTCTACTAGTATGTTGACATTTTTTGAATTCATTAATGTTTACAAATAATTTACCCAAATAACAAAAAATATTATTTTTTAGAAATATAGGCAAAAATGATTTTTTGTAAATGAATGCCATGAATTATACTTAAGGCCACTCATTACCCTTGGCATTAAATGGATAGTCTTGTGCTTTGGAGCACAGGAAATACATAAAAGGAGCATACATTTATGATAGCACAAGTCAACTGGAAATTAATCACCTTAACATAACCTAAACTCACCCCTCAGTCACATATTGATATTGTGAACTGACAGAGTGACTTTTCATATTCAGTAAAATGTCAAGTCCATTCCTTCATGTATTTCCTTCCAAAGATTTCTCTAATTTCTAACAGACCCCATCTACCATTAATAAATGCATTAGTCTGACCACCTGTTTCATTTTCTTTTTAAGGATGTGTGAGCAACTTAAGTATTTAGAGCCATTATTAAATGTGAAGACTCATTTATTATATCCTGGCAGAAGGAGAGTTTTAACCAATTCCTGCTGGGTGAAGAAGAACTGATCTTCCTAAAACAAGGGATGCTAGATAGGCTGACTAGACCTCAGTGAAAGGACTTGCACTGGAGAATGGCTGAGGACACTGATGACACAGTGGGCCTTAGCAGGGATGACAGTGTATATGGACTCTAGTGGGGGAGCTGTGGGAGTGTACAAGTGGGGATGGGGGTATAAAGATGATTAAGATGTCAGAGATGCTCTGTATGAAGTACACACAAATTCAATAAAAAATCAAAGAAAATGATGAAAAAAGGTCCTTAACAGAGAAGTTAATACTATTATTCTCCTAAATAAGTAGAGTATTTAAAAAAAAAACATATTCTGGCATTTCTGACATACTGTGTCTTGCTTTATACTGTACTGACAGACTCATTATCTTCAAAGAATAAAGAAATTTTGTTTTTACAGTACAGTGCCGGACTAAGAGAATAAGTGAGAATGTATTGGTATTTAGTTCGTTGCTTAAAATGACCATTAGTCATTGGAACTTCTAACATCTCCTTTTATTCAGGATACTACCTAAAACACCTTGTGTCTAAATGAATCGACTAATCCATTTTTCATGGTATGACTACATGAAATATTGCTAATGAAGACCTCTATATTTTGTGGATTATTTTCTAAAATTGTGTTTATTTTTATTTATTATTAACAACAACAATAATAATAATAATAATAATAATAATAATAATTATTATTATTATTATTTTGACAGAGTCTCCCTAGTCCCAGCCCCCTGGAAGGCACTATGTGGACCAGGCTGGCCTCGATCTCAGAGATACAGCTGCCTCTGCCTCCTGAGGGTTAGGATTAAAGGCATGTCCTACCACACCTGGCAGTTTCTTTTCTGTAGAACAATCTAGTGATAGTGTTATCTCTTAGAAATGCATATAAATTTAAGTCTTTATTTTTTATCACTTGATATATCTTGTTTTGTAGAGAGCAGCATTCTTCTGGTTATGCCTCCAATAAGATATACCACAAAATGTAAAAAGGCAACTTACCTGAAAGGTAGCAAGATAAATGAATGTGCCAACAGGGGTGCAGAGCTGCATAGCTCCTCTCCAGGTTTATGGCTTCTTGTCCTAGTGGCAATGAATAGAAATTTTGGTTACTAAGACAGATCAAGTTTTTCTTTGAAGAAACTTATTTGTCCCTTTATAATTTTTCCATTGCTCTTAAATTGACTTGTTGATCTAATAAGCACAGTAAAACAAAATAAAGAGAACAAATCAAAACAGCAACCTCAAAGGCCTACTTTGCCAAATATTTTATATGTTGGTCTTTGTTTTGAGAGATGAGGAATTTTCAAAATATATATGATTCTTCATCTGTAGCTTGTCCTTCTTTCAAACTATGACTATTTTAAAACTCCATCTGTATTTTCAGTCTCATCATTTCAAGGCAAACTCTGACTTGAAAAGACACAACTGGATAATAAAGAGCAATTAGTAGACATAAAATACTAGGACATAAGAATGTTACTGAGCTTTATATACTCTTAATTTTTGTCCTCATGTTGACTCCAAATGCACACTTGAGGAACATATACCCTAACTGCCCATAGCGTGCATATGAACATTGAATGTGCCCTGAAAAGATTCCAAGGTACAGAATGTATCTCCAAGGACAAATTTAGTATAACTGTCATCTAGGAGTGGCAACATTTTAAATCAATGTTAAAAACATGGATATACTTGTGGTAACAGCATATGAAGATAGATGTCTGTGATACCATGTATCATATGCAGTGCATAACTGTATTTAGGTAGATACACACAGGCTTCTATGTATACATGTCTAAATGAAATTTTATGATTAGTGAAAAATATACCAGACTATGTACTAGCCTACCTTCACTACTATGAAGAATACAAAACAAGGTGTATCTTCAAATATTGCCTTTTAGATTTTTCTAAACGTTTTGTTTATAATTGTGTAGAAAATTGCCTTCTTGGCTGACAAAATCATGACACTGATATGTCACCCAGAAAATAAACTTTGACCATAAAATGGAAAATCTAATAGGGGCCTGTTATTTTATGGTTAAAAAGAATTTCCCACTTTCCGGTCATTTGGAAAAGTTGCATTTCATGATAAACAGCGTAATGGAAAAGGGGACTTTAAGAAAATTCACAATTCATTTTTACATCATTTGAAATAATATGTTTTGAAAGGCTAAGGCATAAATAAGATGTGCATTTTCTTGAACAGGCTATTTTTTTCATTATGTACTTCATATTTATATATTTTTATGATTCTGTTAGTAAAAAATCATAGGGTTTATTATTAATGGTTTTCTAGTTGCTGTCATCATAAACATAATTGCCAGTAGCTTAGCTCCCAGGAGTAACCTAGCAACAAGCTGGCTTTGTAGCATGTAAGATATGACTGCAATGTTATGGAGAAATGACTGAGTTTAAAATTTTTGCACATGTATATTATTGAAATCTCATTTTGGAGAAATTGAATGAAAGCACTGAATTTCATACTGAATAATATTACTGTCTCCATCATTCAGAAAATGATAAATCTTTCAAATTGCACCACTACTAAATAGGTGACTGGATTGTTTTCCCTGGCATTCTGTTCTTTGCAGATTATATGGGAAATGTCTTGACACACATTTAGCATACAGTAGGCAAATTTCCTAGACTGAGTTTCTCCAATCACCTTCTTGACAGCAATGCAATACTCATCTTTAAATAGTTTTAGAATAAATGTTTTCTTTTCAAGCTGTTGTTAGATCATTGCCCTTTTAGGCTTGTCATTTGAGTGAACTCCATTAGGAATCACATTTTACTTTACACTTTTGAGAATGTGCATATTTAATATACCTTTTTATAAAGATTAATTTTATATTTGTCAGTTACTGTTACTGGATAAACACCTTCCCAGGGCTGTAGTTACAACTTTATGAAGGAAAGATATCAGTTATTACAGAAAAGCTGCACTTTCATATCATCCCTTACCTGATAAATAGACCTATAAGAGAGAAACACACCAGTGAATGCCTTCTGTAAGTGCTACTGTAATTACACGACCCTTAGGAACTTGGAAAATAGTTCACTAAGTTTCAAGAAATTGTACAGCCTTTGTAAAACTGCACTAAAGGATAGTGCATTTTGATAAGGCATTTAGTATGAATGTGTAGAACTGCAAAACAGTATGCATCTGCTTCCTGGGGGACATAGACTTTCCTTCAAATACCCTGAGTTTTGCTCTCAGTGTTGCTCCACCAATCTGGATTCTGGTAGGAGCTCAACTCTTATTCTTTCTCTCATTGCCCCCTCCCCAAATCTTTTCACAAGGGAGAAATAGAACCAGGAATACCATAATTTCAGAACTAAATATACCTAATAAGATAGTTGGATTTTACCTAATAAGATAGATGAATTTTTTCTATTACTTTCATCTTGTGAAGTACCTCAAGTAATTAATATTCCTCGTATTGAAAACTACAGTCTTGGAACTATCTAGCAGCAGTTAGATCGAATAGTTGCATGAAACATATACTCAAAATATTATACATATTATGGTTTATCTGTAAAGATATTTAGCACCTCTGTAACCACTGTTCAGTTGTGCAGAGGAAATTTTACCCCTTCTAACAATGACATCATGAAAAGGGAAAAAACTATTGGAAAACTATATTTTTGCAAGTTGAGTTCCTGGAGGGTAGGGGCAATATCATTTCTATCTATATGCAGTATTAACTATAATAATTTACACAATATAAAATTTCAAGTAATGACCACTCTTAACTAATTAGAATTTGCAAATAAGTTGGAAATGTTCCACAACCACTACTGAAATTATATTTAAATAATTGAAATGTGTGATATATGTAACAAAGACATCCAATAAGCTAAGACTCTATTAGATATGCAAATTAATTATCAGATCATTATTGCTGAATTATAAAGTTAACCTGAAGGAACTATACTTGTACTTGCAGGTTTGGTTACAAAAATACGGCTACCTTCCACCAACTGACCCCAGAATGTCGGTGCTTCGCTCTGCAGAGACCATGCAGTCGGCGCTAGCTGCCATGCAACAGTTCTATGGCATTAACATGACAGGAAAGGTGGACAGAAACACAATCGAGTAAGTACTGGCACCCATTCTCCTCTCACTGGCCTTGGAGCCCAACTAAGTATCAAACACAACCTGTACTCCCAGAACCACCATTCGGATGTTCTGACTCATGAACTTTTCCTTGGAATGTGTCCTGTTTTCAACTCCGGTCTTCAGAGATTTCTCATAATATGTAAGGTCCAAAGTCATGTTTACTCACAGGATTCTAACTAGCACCACATTTTTAAGTAGAATAGAAAATATGAGCACTTGTAAAAAATAAATGTATGTTTGAAGCCACTGTGAGAAAGAGCAGTGACCCATAGAGCTGCTTTGTGTGGCTGACGAGAGACACTGCACATCTCATCAAGGTCTAGAACTAGTATCTTGTCAGAACTTTCATGTTGGCCATGATGGAAATATTGACACAATAGAAACTGGGAAACACTACAAATAAGGGCTTTTATTTGGGGTCGAATGGGTAGTGTCAGAGATTCAGCTGTCAAACATTTACTAGCTCCCTACTGGTGAAAAATCTGCAAATGAGGTAAATGAAGTAATGATTTTTGCTAAAAGTTGTCTACTTTAACTTTATTAGTAGCAAAGGTTTTGCTCTTACCTTGTAATAATATGTGTTTTTATATCGATTGGTTTATGTATCATTCCTTTATTATTAATTCAACAAGTGATACCTGAGGTGAATACTTTTGGAAATACTACAAAGACAAAAGTTTTACACTGTTACCTGAATATGCTGGTGTCCTTTCCTTGATCCCAGGACTTGAGAGGCAGAGGCAGACAGGTTTCTGTAAGATCAAGACCAGCCTGGTGTACAGACGATTTGTAGACCAGGCCAGGTGGGGCTATAGGGAGACCCTGTCTTAAACAAATAAGATATACATACATATATATATATATATGTATATATTATTTGTTTAAACTATATACAGTTTTTATAATATATATATATAAAACCTCTTTGTCAAAGACACTATTGTCTGCATAATATTTTATCATAGGCTCCCACTAAGTTGTTCAATATTATAAAGCAGAATTAATGCTTCTAGATAGGAAAGAAGGAAGCGATACATTTTTTTTCAGTGATTTGGAAAACAATCATTTGTGCTTTTAAAATCTTTTACACTTCCAAATAAATGTACTTCTCTTAGTGGACTGGTGATGAGCATTCATAATAGAAAACAAGGTTACATTTTTTTTCTCCATTTTCCCAAGTGAAAAAACTTAATGTCAAAGGCCAAGTGAAGACCACAGGTGCTATGCTATGGAACACAAGCCTTTTCATAACTAGCCTGAAGACTTTAACCTGCTGGGTACCTCAAGAAAAAAACATTTATTTTTCTATTTAAAATTGAAATATCTTGATTCAGACAAAATTCTGACACTTTTAGCTAATTTGACATTAATCCTGAAATTACATTTCGCCTTCTAATATTTACATCTGGTTGTTCATACCGTATTTCTATATTACCAAGACAGGAAAACCCATGATAGAGGCTTTAAATTAAACTTCAAATCAGTATGTAAAAGCTATTACTTTCTCTAATGCTTTTAATAGAGCTATAAATACTAACAAACCCCTGAAAAAATAATAATAAATATAGCACGTTTTGCAACATTTAGAAATGGTATCAATTTTAGGAATAGAATTTTTGTATTTTAGACCTGATTATCTCTTGTTATTGTAACTTTCTATTAATCGAGCAACATCAAATTTAATTGTTACATTTAAAACATCATTTTCATCCCAACATTCTGCAAAGTCATCTGGGCATTTTTCTGGTTCTCTAACAAAACACTGTTAACTTGTTTCACTTTATTGAAATTTATGGAACAATTTTTTTAAAAAATACAAATAAGCTGGGTGTGGTGGTACACACCTTTAATCCCAGCATCCAGGAGGCAGAAATGCTTTTGGTATTCTTAGATCAGCCTGGTCTGCAGAGTGAGTTCCAGGCCAGCCAGGGCTATAGTGAGACTCTGCTTCAAAATAAATAAATATAAAAATAAATAAATAAATAAATAAATAAATAAATAAATAAATAAATAAATCAAACCAACAACAACAACAAAACAAAAAAAACCACAGAGAATCACAACTGCCCAACATTCAGAAAATTAGAGGCTGCAGAGTGCTTCTCCATCTATATAAAACTTCTGCCTCCCAAGGCTCAGGGATTATTGCAGAAGAAGAAGACAGAGTGGAAAGATTGCAAGAGCCAGAGGAGGTGGAGTATTATAAGGAAATAGAGTTTTCCAGGCAGGTGGTCAGTTACTCCTACGAACTCACAGCAATGGAGACAGCAGGACAAGTCCTACATATGCTCAGGCCAGACAAAACCCCAACATAGAGATGGGGAAGTAAGTAAGAAACCCCAACCCTACCTGAGGAACTACTGGCAGCTGATGCCTGCTGGGAAAGGGCTATTCAGACTGTCTTGTTTAAGGTGAGACTCTTGGTATCTTGACCAGTCTCCAATGGGTGAATCAACTGAAGGGCATTTGTCTCCTCAAACCTGACTCTAAGTAACTCTTTATATATATATGCCTATAGAAATACAGAGTCACATATATGTGAATAACACAGGAAATTTGGTGGGGATTGTAGTAAGAGGCATGCAGATAGGGGAGGGGATCTAACTATGATCAAAATATATTACATAAAATTTACAAAATTTCAATTAAAAAGGAATAATAATAAAATTTAAATGAATTGAGGATTTGGAGACAAATTACATTGTTTGGGTATCTTATGTAGTGCCGAAAAAATAGGGAAGCATTTTGAATATTTGACTTAGTGCCAGAAAAATAAGAAGTACCTACTACTTATTTCATACTAAAATTGAAAAAGTACTTTAAAAACAAACAGGACACAGGTAAGATGACCCAGATGGTAAGGCACTTGTCATTAAGACAGATAACTTTCGTTCAGGCTCCTAAACCCACATTGTGGAAGGAGAGAGCCAATTTCCACAAGTTTTCCTCTGACTTTCATGGTAGGTTCATACACATATAAATAAAATAAATGGATGTAAAATAAATTAAGAACAATAACAACAACAAAAGAAATCTCACCACAACTTTTCTGAGGGTTGTAGAGAAAGTGTGGTGTTGAATAGCTCTTACTGCTCTTTAGGAGGACCTGAGTTTCCAGCAACCACTTAGGGTGGCTCACAACACTTCCACCTATAACCCAGCTCTAGGGGATCTGACACAGTCTTATGACCTCTATAGTAACCCCCCACCCCCTGCCATGCACATGCATATATACACCACACATACACAGAAAAGAGAAACAGAGTGAGATAAATTTCAGAATAGATCAATTATTTAAATATAGAAATTTCAAATAACAAAACGTCTAAAGAAATTTCTTTCCAATTTCCCCAGTTCTACGCTGGGTTTTTGTGTGGTTTGAGTTTGCATGGGTCTTATGCATGCTTCTCACCATTGCTATAAGTTCATATGAGCAAGTTTCCAGAAGCCTGGAAAACTCTTTCCCTTGTGGCCATCCACCAATCCTGGCACTTACATTTTTTTTTTTTTTTTTTTTTTGCCCCCTCTTCTACAATGGCCCCAGAGCCCTGGTAGTTGAGTTTTAACATAAGAGTCCTATCTAGGGATCCCTTGCGTTTCTTCAGTGCTGCCTTCTTGGAGCATCATAGTAGTCACCAGAAACACGGACTCCAAATGTGAGTAATGCAGGGGTGACACTGTGTTTTTTTTTTTTTTTTTTTATGAATGCCTGATTCATTAAAAATACTTTACAGAATACAGTGAGGCAAAACTCTAATCAAGGGTTATTGAGAGACTGAGGCTTGAGGGTTGCTTGAGATGAGGAGTGTAAGACTAACCTGGGCAGCAGAGCAAGACACTTTCTAGGTTACTTAGTGAGCACTGACCTAGCATTCACAATTTTGGAGGTTTGATTTGTAGTACTTCCAAAAACAATATTTAATAAAACTAATGAATACTGTTTTATATCTAGAATGGGTATATACCTATACATATATGGATGTGTTAAGATTTAATGGTACTTTATATAAAATCTGAAAATGGATGGCTGTTGGGATCACTGTTATCTAAGTACTAGAAAGACCTCCGGTTTTAATAAGATACTAGTAATTTTAAGTGTTAAAACACAGACCAAACGGACCAGAAGTACTCACCTCCAAAGAGTTTAAGTTTGTAAAGGAATGTGGCCACCAAGGAGTTAGCTTTTATGATATATCTCATTTAATTTGGACTCTTTTCTTTCTGAAATAACTGTGAGTTTTTAGACTAGACGGGAAGAATTTTTTTTTTTAAAGAATCTTTTAGTGCTTATCAGGAAAGCATCATCTTTCTTGCAAAGTACATGTCATTTCACTGCTGTATAAAATCATTCATATATTTATAATAACAAAACAGCTGATTGATCCAAGCAACTTGTAGAAAGCTAATTAACTTTCAAAAGGAAATTTAAAAAATTGAGGGTGGTCTTGCTATGTTTCCCAATCTGGTATGGATATTGTTATGTTGCCCAGGTGGCTTTACCTCACAATCCTGCTTTGACCTGCCAAGTGCTGGGATTATAAGTGTGCACAGCCATACCTAGGTATAAAATAAACATTCTTAGATAGCTATCACTTCATTTGACTCCATTTAAAAAGTTCAAAAACTGTTGTCTGGAGAGGTGTCTCAGAGGTTAAGAGCACTGGGTACTCATAGAGTTCCTAGAGTTCCCAGAACCTACAGGGTGAACTTACACACATACAGGAGAAACACTCATATACATTAAATAAAATTAAATAAATAAAAATATAAAATCTGGGGCCCGGCGTGGTGGTGCACGCCTTCAATCCCAGCACTCAGGAGGCAGAGGCAGGTAGACCTCCGTGAGTTCAAGGCCAGCCTGGTCTACATAGTGAGTTCCAGGCCAGCTGGGGCTACAGGGAGACCCTGTCTCAAAAAGACGATATATATATATATATATATAAAACTGTTTAGTACATGATGAAATATAGAAAAATTGGTATCATACCTGTTTTCTGATTCATGTAGCACCACAAAGATCAAGCATGTGCTTTGTAGTTATCAAAGAGCCTAAGGAACAGGGAAGCCATATTGGATGGCACTAAAGGAAGCTACTTAGAAGCATTAAGATCTTCCTGATTGGAAAGACACAAGGGTAGATAGAAAACAGGACAATGATCAAATGGCAGGGCCTAGAAAAGAATTTAGATTATGACATGTTAATATACATAAAATTAATACATGGAAAATAATATCTCATTTCTAAAAATTAATAATAGCCTTTATCCCTATGATAACTGCCTATTCAGAAAATATTTTAGGAAAATTGAATTTGGTTATCATTTGGAAAGGATTAATGATTGAAGTTAAGGTGAATGTTGTGTGGACAGTCAACATTCAACTTTGAATGCTAGAGGAGAGTAGCGAAGACCTAATGACTGCTTGAGTTTGAAGTTGCAAGACTGATTTAAAATTTTGCTAAATAAGAGAAAAAGTGACAGTGAAGTGCTCAGTCCCAAGTGAGGCATCTACAATACCACCTCTACACCTAAGATTCAGGGAGCATTTTGGAAGAGGGGTGGGCGGGAAGAATATTAGAGCCAGAGACTAAGGACCCCTGCTGCTAATTAATGCATTTAGACGTGATAGAGAAGGTACACCAATGGAATCCTCACAGTATGATGTAGATATTGCATAATGACAAGCCAATTGACATACCAAGGTGAGTGGGGGAATGTCATGGGGTCCCACCTCAAGATGAAGAGCTCTAGGCAATCAAGGATTCTAGGGAAGGGAGAATCAGTTTTCTCCAGGGACTAGCTCCCTGAGAGGTTATCTATTTCCAAATGGACAGCTCCACACAGGTAACAGGTACACTGGAGCACCACTAACTGGACTCAGTGCATAGTGTCAAAAATAAGAACACTGAACCTTAAAAATATATATAAACTTAAAAAAATATTGTTGAATATTAAAATTGGGTGATACCTTAGTGTGTTTTCATGTATGGTATGAGACATTGAAGACTGACAACTGGTTATATATTTTAACAGTGGATGCCATTTAAAAGCTGTAGGCTACCTCTGTTTACAATAAGCCTAGATTGCATTAGAGGAAACTTACTAAATGGTTTGAATAGTAAAGTAGTGGTTCTTAGTCATTCCAAAATTCTATGATATCTATTTAGATTCAAATCAGAAAAAAAATAATTGTACTATTTGCCTTATTCTCTAGTTTTCTGTTTGATTTCCTTCATTAAGAAGGATTTCTGGTAACTGAACAATGTTGTTCTTTTCAGTTGGATGAAGAAGCCCCGGTGTGGTGTACCAGACCAGACAAGGGGCAGCTCCAAATTCAACATTCGTCGAAAGCGCTATGCACTAACAGGACAAAAGTGGCAACATAAGCACATCACCTACAGGTACAAGGACTCTGGGTTCCTCCACCCCATCATTTCCATTTCCTATTGACATTTTGTTTGATATGTTATATTATATGAACATGTGTTTCATGTTCATATATTACCATAAGAAGTTTAAAAGTGCAATTGAGAAGAGAAAGAAATGACCATTAGGGGACCTTGTAGACATTCTTTGAAATTCTTGTCCACCTTTGCATTCTGGGACTCCCAGCTTCATGAATGGATGTCCATGTTCTGAAGGATTTTGAGATTAGTGTTCTAACACAGTACATTCATTGGCAAGTATTCATACTCTAAAAATAAATCAATTAATGAAGTGCAAAAGTAATTGTCTTTTAAACAAAAGCCTTTTGATGTTATTATCTTTCAGCAGCACAGCAACTATTTTACGTTTCTTCCATTATTATTAAAGTTGACATCCCTTTTCTGTCCTGTCTTTAATGATTTAAAGTGACTTCTAACCTAAAATGACAGATATTATAATAAAAAAGTTAATGTTTATTCATTTACCCATTGAGTGGCTATTGTTTATAGAATTCTGATATGAACAAAGAACATTGCTGGACCCCAGATGAGAAAAACAAACAAAACACAAGGATATTCAGGAAGTACATAGCCCTGTGGATAAGTTAAACAATTTTATAAGTGTGACACCTATATCACAAAGAAGGAGCAAGTTGTAAAAGAGATGTAAATAAGACTCATCTAACTGAGTCGGGAAAACCAGGGATAAGTGACCTTTGAGCCAAGACACATAGAAAGAGAAAGATCTTAAGTCAATGGGTAGAAAATGAAGGATGCTTCAGGGAGAGGACATGCTGAGAAATACCTCTTTCAAATGATATGATTTTAAAAGAAAAATTTCAAATTCTTATCTTTCAGAAGTAAGCCTCCTTGAATTTATTTAAGTTAAAATTTAAAAAGTACTCTGTTTTGATTTTTTTCTGTATATAAGTAGAATATTGCATGTGAATTTATTTTGGATGTTTAGAGGATACTTTCAGAGTTAATTGTACTGATAATTTGATCATAGATTATTGCTTATACAAACTGTATGTTTCTCTACATATAAGAGAAGCCATTTAAGTCTGTTCATGGATTTTTTATTTTAGCTTCATAATCTTGTTTTACTGCTCCTACAATTTGTACTTTCAAAAGATAGTTAAGTATTATGTCAAGAATTCGCATGGGATACAGCACTTATATTTTCCTAGTGATGGTAATAACCAGGCCTCCTGTCCAGTGAACTGTCTTTCTCTAGTCAACTCAGCCATCAAAAGTAATCTGTGAGAGGAAAATTAGACACTGATTGGAAAGTGTTTTTATACTTTGATATAATACAGATTGAAAACCATTACCTTTTGACAAAATGGCAGAGAAAGTACTTAGAAGATGTAATAAAACAAATGCATAAGTTTTGAAAAAATAAAACTGCTATTAAACTTTATAAATTTCCATTAGAAAACCTAGAATACTCCAGATAGCTACAAAATAATGAAAATGTGGGCAGTTTAAATAATACAATATCTTATTTTCAGATCAATTTTAGATTGACAAATCCTATACAACACACAGTTGCTGCTGTCATTCAAGTTTTGTTTTTTTATGGTACGTTTGTAAAAACCGATAATCTGGATTTGATGCATGATTCCTAAGTAAGGTTCATTGTCTGTACATTTTTTGTGGATTTTGACTGATGTGTGATGTTATGTATTCACCATTATAATATTATGTGAATATCACTGCCCTTAAAATACTATGATTGGTGCATTTATTCCATCTCACATTCCTTAAAAAAAAAAAACTTAAGAAATACTGATTTTCTTCAAAAGCTTAGCACTGCTTTTATGTATTACCATTTAGTTGCAATCATGTAAAATGTCTTTTCACACTCAGTTCTTTCCCTTAATGGGATTCATTTAATGTCCCTCCACTTCTTTATGTGACTTGATAGCTCATTTGACTTTATTATTGAATAATAATTCATTATAAGGATACCACAGTTTGGTTATTCATCCATGCATTGGAGCCATTTTAGTTCCTTTAAAGCTTGAGCACTTAGGACTATGACTGGTATAAACATTTATTTGAAAATGTATGTATATAGATTTTCAATTAATTTGTGTAGGTACCAAGAAGAGTGATTGCTTATTGGAAAGTAAGACTAGGGCAGCTTGTGTAAGAAACTGCCAACGTAGGAACTTTTCCTAGTGTGGGTATTCCGTTTTGAATTGTCAGCGATATCTAGAGCTGTTGCCACAAACGTCTGCATTTATTGTTGTCAGTAACTATTTTACAGAAGTAGAATTTTGTTTCATTGGTTTATTGAGATAAAACAATTGGACTGAGATAGTTTTTTTTTATTTTATTTTAATTCCCCAGTGAAATAACAACACTCAGTACCTTTTCAATGCTTATTACCATCATAATACCTGTTTTGGTCTGGCATTTGTCCAGACCTTTTGATTAATAGCTAGATGTCATCCTTGTGTTGAGATCTTTTAAAAAGTGGTCTGTACACAGACTTTATTGGTTGTATCATGAACGATCTCTCTATTCTGTAACTTTGCCCTTCATTGTCTTTATGATCTCTATTTTAGAGAAGAAATTTTAATTCTAATAATGTCCAACTCACTTTCCATCCTGTGGTGTTGTATGTTGCATCTAAAAAAGAAAATTAAAACCAAGGATCCCTATACTTTCCTTTGTGCTATCTTCTAGAACTTCAGCAGTTTTCTACTATGATCCAGTTTTAATTACTTTTTAATGTTTCTTAATTTTTTAAATTTATTTATTTTGATTTTCTGTGTATAAGTATTTTGTCTGCATGTATATAAGTTGTAAATGCATCTTTGTTGTGCAGAGACTGCTGAAGCCAGAAGAGGCTATCAGATCCCCTGGAACTAGAGTTAAAGACAGTTGTCAGCTGCCATGTGCATGCCAGGAGTCGAATCCGCATTCTCTGGAAGATAAGCCAGTGTTAACTGCTGAGCCATCTCTCTTTTAAAAAAGAAATTGGGACAGAGTCTTAGGCAGCCTAGACTAGCTTCAAACTCGATTTTTAGCAGAGTTATGATCTTGAAGCCTTGGTCCTCTTGCCTCTACCTATTGAGCCCCGGTATTACAAGTATGTACCACCCTTCCAGATTTATGTGGTACAGAACATCAAACCCAGGGCTTCCTCAATGCTGGGATGCACTTTATCATCTTGAAAACATTCCTAGCCCCAGTTTCAGTTGTTTTTGAAATAAAGCATAACAACATCCATGTTCACTTTCTCTATATTCATTTGTGTGAATGTCCAGTTCTTCTAGGAACATTGCTGAAAACATCATCATTTTCTTCATTTCTTTGTGCATTTTTTACAAAACATCTTCACTGTCTTTATAGCCCTTCCTCCATGGAGCATTTTGAAATGGATTACATTTGCTTTTCTGTCACAATGAGTTGACATATCTACACTGGTCAGTTTTGGGGTCTTAACTCCATTCCATTTTTGAACATATTAGTTCTTAAGCTGGTTTCACACTATTACTGACTGTAAAGTAAATCATAATTTAGTATTTACTCTAGTCCATTAGTTTCTGATGGTGTCCTTTAAAATACTGTGTTGGTTATTTAGAATTTCTTGAATTATGTTATAAACTTCAAAATCAGTTTTTCATATCTACCAAATAATTTGATATGATTTTGATAAGTATTTCATTGTATCTATTGACTAATTTTGGAAGAGCTAAAACCTTCACCGTATTGTCTTCCTATCCATGAACAGTAGCTAGATACTTTGCCAAAATATTCCAGTTGCTATTTAAGTCTCTTCTCCATTCTGGAACTACATTGCGCTCAGTACTACTTTCTTCCGGGCTTCTACTAGAACTGCCAGTTAAGTGCTACCTACAACATTCAACTGGTTTTCTAGTACAAACTTCAAAAGTCTTCCATATGTCTCCCAAAAGTAAAATGCCCAGGTTCTTAATGTTAGCAGCCTATGCTCTGGTACCAACTTCTGTATTAGTTACTCTTTTGCTGCTGTGATAAACCACCATGGCAAAGAAGGAGTAGTTTACTGGACTAATGATTCTGGAGTGCTAAGAGTCCATCATGACAGGTGAGGCATGGCAGGTGGCATAGAGTAGAAAGCTGAAGGATCACATCTTCAACTGGGCACAGGAAGTCAAGAGAGACAGCATCAAAATGGAGCAGATTAAAGCCTATCTCCAGTAATGTGCTTCCTCCAGCATGACCACACCATCTAAATCTCTCAAACTATCTCTCAAACTGGGGAAAAGGTGTTCAAGAGGAGTATTAAGAATGAAATCAGGGTATTTCTATGCATTAGACAGAAGGGCTTACTTTAAATCAATGTTAATTAAGACAATGCATAATATTAGTATAGCGATAAATAAGCCAGTGGTACAGAGAAGACATTATTACAGAGGAATTCTCATGCATATATATAAAATTGATTTATGTCAGGGAGACCTTTCAGACAATGGGCATTTTCTATACAAAATTATTCTGCAATAATTGATTATCTATAAAGAAGATAATAGAATTATTGCATGCCCCAGATACATCCAAAACAAACTCAGTAAGGACTAATTGGATTAAGGTATGTAATTAACTATAGAACTATAAAACTGAGACAGAATTGATTGGTGCTGGGATTTTGTTATTTAGAAAATGTCCTTTTCTTACCTGATTTCCACATTTTTTTATGGAGCATCCTACTTAGTGCCTCTGAGGTACTGACTACATCTTTTAAAGAAAAAGAAAAAACAAAGAACAAAAAAAAATGAGGAGTAAAGGAGAGAGGGAGGGTCAAGAATCATTATAGTGAGATGTGAATGCTGAGACACATTACTGACAATGGCTCCTGACAGTTATGGATGTTTAAATATTTGTATGTTAGTCCCTGCAAGGGTGAAGATTACAGATAAGCTGAGCCTGTAACTAGGGTCCATTTTAGAATAAGAAAAATCAGGGTTTGAATTCCAACT